CATTTCACGGGACAATCAAGGGTTCCTATCGAAGACGATGCTGGCCGGAACCGGGGTGAGTTACCTTGCCCTGTAACCTATAGCGGGGGTGAGAGGCTTGGTAGAGCTTGGTAGGGAATAAGGCAGTGTCTGAGGACTTCGAGGGTGTTAGGACCCTGTGGCGCTTTAGAGTGTTTGAAGACAATTGCTGGGATTTTCGTTGGGGGATAGTCTCCCAAATTTACCTCAAATGACATTGATTTTTGTTAAAAAAAGAGATAATGTTTTAGGATTCTGGGGACTTCTAGCAACTCGCTTTAGGCTGTTTGATACTGATACGTTCGTGGATCTGCGGTTGTTCGATGCCAGAACGATGCTGGCCGGTGTTGGGGTGTTGCCCTGTAACCTGCTGATTGCAGGAGCGTGAGACCTGGTAGAGAGATCTAGGGATGCTTTGGGGTGGGCATTCCAAGGGGCAACCAAGGGGAGTTGTTGGGACGACGTTAACCGGAGTTGGGGCGAGTCGTGTTGCTCTCTAACCTAGCCAGGTGGGGGTGTGAGGCCTGGGAGAGCTCGACAGAGAATAAGACAGTGGTGGACAGTTGTAGAGAGTTTTGTTTGGGAGTCTAGGGGTTCTGAGCATTCGAAAAGAGGTGAGTAGTCATTCATAGTTTTTTAACCTCTCCTTTAATTCTCTTGAATTTCGTCAATAGTTCTCAGATTGATTCTCAGCCGATGTCGGGTAATGGCCCGACATCTCAAATGACTTGTCCAACTCTATATTGGACGTTGGGCCCAGTTCCCAGCATGTGCTGCTCCCCACGAATAGACTGGATCATTTGTCCCAAAAAAAAACAAAAAAACAAAAGGGTGATGGTCTTGAGTGTTGGTCACACTGAGGTCGGATAGTAGAGGTAGGGGGTGCGCTGGGAGTATTAACGTGGGGATGGGTAGGGTGGGTGGCCTATCCTATGGGGATGGGTAGGGTAGGTGGCCTATCCTATCAGGACAACCATTGGCTGCCGCTACTAGCAATCACCGTGGGTCTGGTCCTTGGCCTCTACAACACCCTGGGCTTAAAAAAAAAAAAAAACAGTTCATGGGTGTGCCAACTGTTGTTGGGCCAGCTGGTGATAGCCATACAATTATTTATTATTATTTTTCACTTTTTTTTTTTGTCGTTGTGGGATATTAATCATATTATCATGGAACTGACCGTCCCTAGATAATTCATAATTGTACTATTTTGCTCATCTGCTTCCAATGAAGTTCGAATTCTACTCTGTATTTCAACAGTTGAGGGGTGTGTCAACTGAGATGGGTCCATTGGTGATATCCATAGAAGCACTATGTCGAGCCGTTCATCAAAGAAAAATAAAAATAAAAAAATAGTTACACTGAACTTTTCAGAAACAAGCAATTGATAAGGGGGGGGGGAGGGAAGTGTCATAGGGGACCTGCATAGATCATCTGGATAATCAAATGGCCAACTACTGAAGAGTATGTCATATGCCTAGTGTCCATCCTCTACAACAACCTGGACTTTGACAAAACCAGCTCTACACGCGCCCTGCACGTCGATTCCCCCTATTCGATGACCCGCGCTCATTTTCGTGTCGGGTTGCGGTGCACAACGGACCACTGTCCTCCTCCCCACGGCCCATGTGCTATAAGGGGTACGATAATAACGAAGATTGGCTGAGCCATGCCAGCACAATACGAGGTCCACCATAGCCATGACCTCCATCTTCCTCCACCTGTGACAGGCCTGGGCTATGGCAGACTACTAAGAGTCTTGCCCGATGTTCAAAAGACAATGCAAGGTTGTGACGAGCTGTTTTCTGTAAGCACGTGCCTTTCGGCGTGACGATGCTTGGGGGTTGGTTAAGGAGGGGCCCGCCCAATTACGTGAATGCCCTTGTCTCCTGGGAAAAAGAGATGGCCCACGGTGGTTGGTAGTTGATCGTGCCTTAGCGAGCGAGGAAAATAATTATTGCCATAACTTCTTTCTTGTTCTGCGGTGAGGAATGGGGAATTTTGGCGCGATCATAGCGCGAAGGAATCTTTTTGGATCTTTTTGAATTTTCAACCGATGTCGAGCCCATGCGGGTTCTCGGAATTTCTTTTTGCAATTAGGACTTAAGTTAGGTTAGGAATTTGGGTGCATCGCAATTTTCGATTGCAACTGCATGGTGCTTCTTGCTTGCGAGCGCTCTGCCTCGTCAAGGTCTGTGCTCTGGCTTCCCCGCGCCTTAATCTTACATGTAACAGTAATTCTTTTTTTGGCGAGCGCGAATGTAGTTGTAATCTTCTCTTTCATGATATCTTCGTACCCCTGCGTGCGCATATTCTTCTCGATCTTATTGGCCTAAGCGATGCATGACTGGATCGATGCATGGAGAGTGGCTACGTCCCCCACGTCGTAGCCCGGCCATGCAGTCGTAGGCACTTCCTTCTTCCTTCCTCCCTCCCACTCAGGCACAATCTCGAGTATCTCGCGCGGATGCTCACGCTATAAATTTGGCAAGCGCAATTAACTCGTCTCTAATCAACTTTGGAGTTACCGTGGTCGAGTGGATCGGCTAACGGGCAAGAGCAAAATGGTGAGTAGAGAGAGTTGGGCAATCCGACGAGCTGGTGCTAGGTATGCGGGGTTGACGTGTGGCCGTGAAGGACTGTGGCACATGGGCGAACCTGACTTGCATGTTAGGACCAAGCGGGGTGACAACTCTGTGTAGGTGTGAGTCGACGGACTGCCCGCATCGAGATGGTGTGAAGAGAGAGAGAGAGAGAGAGAGAGAGAGAGAGAGAGAGAGAGAGAGAGAGAGAGAGAGAGAGAGAGAGAGAGAGAGAGAGAGAGAGAGAGAGAGAGAGAGAGAGAGAGAGAGAGAGAGAGAGAGAGACGGGATGTGTTGGAAATTGGAATGGTACTTTTTTTCGATTCTTCTGAGTAATTTTGATGTCTGACGCAAGTCGTCCTTGTTTTTGGATCGACCACTCCCGAACTTTTCTTTTCCTTATAAATCGATGTGTGATTCTCTTCCTTGCCCCTTCCTCCCCCTGTTTGAAATTGTCAACTTGATTGATTGGTTATCGACACTCGTTCCATGTATGTTCTCTAGCCAGCGAGCTACTAAAAGTTCGATGCATGAGTGTTTGGATGTAATAGGGATGAGCATGCCAGTTGATTAGATGCCTGTTTCACGCTAAGTCCGTCAATGACATCTTCGGGCCGACAGGTCGATGTACACGTACCAAAAACTGTGAATTACTGACTATTCCCCGCCTGATCGACGGAAGATCCTGCGCACCCACGTGTACGCCCGGTCGAAGAAGGTTGTCAAGTAAACGCATGTCTGCAGGACCTGCCCCGATCCGGCCCTCCTCCCCCCCCTCCACGGCCGAGCACCCCGGATGTATGCAGTATGAATATGGAAACCCCTTTCCGAACCACTGACCGCGAGTGCCCGAGGGATCGCGAGTTCCGGGAGTATTGGGATCACGCGTGTCTGTCTGCCCGATCGAGGGCAGAGCCTTTGGAGTTTCCATATCCGACGGGAACCGAGCATATTTGCGAGTGGGATATTGGTCAGACCTTGGAGCGTATTCCCCACCTCCCTGAATATCCCAGCCCGTACACGTGTCAGATCGTTGCTGAACCCGGCATTGCTATCCTAGAGACCGAATTCCCGCCCTATCACCGTATATTGCCTTTCCACTGCTTGATCATTGCCCCTTGGCAGGCTCTCGCCCCCTACTGGCCCCAACCCCCGTGCTCTGAGTGCCTGCAAGACCACGCCTACCGAGCGTCGGGCTTCATCCGGCGAACCCGCTCTGAAGCTGAACGACGGGAGCACAACCTTCGGCTGAGGCGGGCTGTGTCCGATTCAGAGATCTGCCATGCTCGTCGTCGACAGGTATTGAACCAATGAGATAGCCATATCGTCCCTGCGGTATACAGAATACGGATCCGTCCCAGACGACGGGACCAACGGAGGCGATTGTCCCACTCCCCGAAGCCTAAAACAGGACCCCGTCCCTCGCCTACCCACTTGCATTCATATCCTTGAAACTTGGCACAAGAGATCTCAGTTCCGAGCTGGGACTCCACCCCCACTTTCCTAAAATCCTTGGCACACCCCTTTTCTCGCATTTCCAGGCCCACTCTCACTCGGATCAGGAAGTCGCGCTGGGCGTGAGGTTGGGGGTCACAAGGCCCGATGGTTGCAGGGGTCCCCTCTATATAGTCTTAGGAGCAGTGGTAGGAAGGTAGTGAAAGGCAAAAAAAAGAATTTGAAGAAGAACATAGTGTAGTTTTTTCAAATAACCCCCACCAGCGGCCCACCCCATCTCTGACTACGGCAACATGATTTACCTCGTTTGCAAGGCCCTATGTTTGCAGGGGTCCCCTCTAGATAGTCTTAGGAGTAGTGGTAGGAAGGTGGTTAAGGCAAAAAGAATTTGAGAGAAAAGCAGTTAAAAAAAAAAAAAAAAAAAAAAAAAAAAACACCAACCAATTGAAAGAACGAGGGATAATTTGCAAAATATCCCCATAATATCCCCATAAATTGAGATATATGCCAATATGCCCCTGAAGGATGTGGGTAGAGGGGAATGCCCATTTGGGCCAAAATCTGTGTTATGCCCCTGCCAGGCCCGTGTCCAAATTTGCAATATGGACCTCGTCTTTTGGGCCTTGGCCTTCCGCTATCGGGCCTGGGAAAGCTGGCAAGTACGGGGGCATTCTGCAAAGTTCGAGGGTACCCAGTAGGGGTATATTGCAAAAATCGGGGTAGAGCCACCGCCAGGGGTATTTCATAAAATTATTTTTTATGTCAGTGGGGCATCCCGCTCTATTCACATCTTTCAGGGGGATTTTCGCATATATCTCAACTTACTGGAGTATTCTGCAAGTTATCCCGCCCCAAAAAAATAAGAAAAGAAACAAGCACATCGTAACAGCCTATTGATTCAAATTTATTCCATTAACGGCTACAATGACGGAGTAATCGTCCCCGTACCCCGACATTCTTTTGTGTGTGTGTGTGTGTGTGTGTGTGAGAGAGAGAGAGAGAGAGAGAGAGAGAGAGAGCCTTCGAGCTTGAAGTCACTCTTGGTCGTCGTGGCATTGTTGGCATTTCAGGGAATAATATCGACCTCGACGACGATTGGCCGTTGGATTTCCTACATCAGCGCATAGCTGCGTTCCACGTGGCGTTTCTTAATTATCCATTAGGTATATCGACTTATCCC